ATGCAAAGCTGACATGGTGTTTCTTGTCAATTGACAATCAACATTTATTTGCATGTAGTATTTGTTATGATGTTTGATGTAGTTTTCTATGTTTTTTCATACTTAAACAATTCATACTGTTTTTACATCTGAAAATATGTGTTTGATCCCAGAAATCAAAGTATACTGTTTATAGGATGTAACATATACTATCTACACATATCACATCTGATGTCACTGATGAGTTTCATCTCCTTAAATAAATCTTCAGTATAATTTTTTATGTGATAAGAAACCAAGTAAATGCAACAATGTGGTAACTGCTAGATACCTTCCAGTTTGACGAATTTCAGAAGAAATCTATCTAAATGGACAGCAAAGGGAATAACAGCTCTGGCTTTTCTTACTGCTAAAGTTGGCACTTATATTGTGCATTTGCAGCATACTAACAGGTTGTTATATCTTTGTGCGCTTTCTTTTTATTTATTGAGTTTTCAACAAAATTACTACATTGGCCTTTTAGAGACACCATAATGGGTATCATTTGAACAAAATGACCAAAACACCCTTCATAAATCAAATTCATTTTATTTAAATCTTAATAAGTAATAATTTCACATGCTACTGAACCTTTACCCACACGCCAAGACTAGGTATGCCTGCATGAACCAAATACAAGAGATAATACCCTGGTGGTGCAATCTCAGCCGTTGATGGCCCAAACACCCCAATACTATAAGTCTTCATAAACGACTCTCCTACCATCGACACATTCTTATCTTCCTTCAACACCACCATTCTCTGATTCATTCCCAATGAATGTGTCGTGAATGATGGTGCTATAATCCTCACTGTAACTCTCGATAGCTTCAAAAACTTCAATACTGTAAACATCAATATCAATGGCTTCCTATACTCTATAACCTCAACATCAATGCTCACAATTTCCGGCCTAAGTGGATCATATTCTTTCGCTAAATAAGGTGGTAAAAACGCTTCCAAACTTAACTCAGAAGGAAACTCAACATTTGTAAAGTTATAAAACGGGTTCGGGTTGCTACCCGCTACTAAAATCCGCCCGTCCGTCACCAAAATAGCAACCGAGTTATAAAGTCTCGGTCTTGATGCCGATTGCATTACGGAAAATCGCCTATTAGGAGGCCCGTTCGGGTGGTAAATAACGGGTCGGGTCACCGGGTCACGCGCGTTGCCCCATCCGGCTGTCCCTGACCCGGCTCCGTTTATAATAATCACTTCTCCGTTTGGCAAAATGACCATATCGCCCATGGTTCTCGCAATCGGCATCGTTTCAATCTCCCAAGCGGGATTCTCATTCATGACTTTAATCCGTCCACAAGTTGGAACCGCTCGGGTGAATTCTCGGGCCCGTTTTATGTTTAAGAACGCTTCACGTGGGGCCCCACCGCATACCATGACCTCGGGCTCGATTTGCGTGTTTTCATCTAATGGAAGCAAAATAGATGACCCGGAGCTTGGGTAGTTTCGTGGGTCGTCCCCGGGAATTGGCGGGAGGTGTTTGACTACACGGTTTCGGTTATAGTCAAACACCACAGACCGTATGTTTGCAAAAATGAATAGGTTCCCATCGGGTAATAAATGGACAAACGGGTACAAATTATTTTCGCTTATAACCTCATCGGTTTTAAAGAAATCCAACCAAAAAGAAGATAAATTGAGGGGGGGAATAAAGTAATCCGGCAAAGTCGAAGGGTAAAACTCGTAATTATTTTGTTGTCGCCCGCCGATTATGATAACCCGTCCATCGGGTAATATTTGATCGGTCGAGTACCACCTTCGTTCAGTGAGGTACCCATGGTACTCGACCCAATCACATGTCTCGTCATCACACGGGACCATGGTTCGAACCGTGTGGTCCCCATCATTGTACCCTCCGGTCTGAACCAGGGTCCCGTCTGCTAGAACTGCACCAGACGAGCACCATGTATCGGTTTGAATAGATAAAGGTCGGAACGTGTTGCTCTGTATATCGTATAGGATTGAGTGAGCCGTACAGTCCTTTTGGAGTATGGGATCGAACGGATCGTATCGACATCGGTTGAACGGGAGAGTTATGTTTGAAGGACCGAAGTCGGTTCGATCAAACATGACAATTTTGTCGTTGTGTAGGAGTTGCATGTGCATGGGGGATATGCCGAGGTTGTCGTGTAGGAGAGTCCATTTGCCGTTGATGCCGGAGGTATTTTGCGGTGGGGTTAAGGGTATGGTGGTTGTTGGAGGTAAGGCTAGTAACGTGAAAAGGACAAAGTTGGTGAACATTTTTTGGTGGTGTTTGTTGTGAAATTGGTGTGTTTAGGGTTGGGTTTGGTATGGTAGTGAGGTTGAGAAGTTGTAGGGAGGTAACTAGATTTGTGTGATCATAATGAATAATCATCGCAAAGTAATTAAACAGGTTCATTTTTAGCTAGAATAGTGGTTTGTTTGTGTCATATTCTTTGAGCCTGACACCAAGTCTATCGAGCCATTTTTGGAGTTTGCGAGTTTGGAAGATATTTTAGGGTTTCTTTTGTTTGTTGATAACTAGGAAGGAAAATACATCAGTATTGATTGTTCTATTAACATTGTCTCTGAAGTCTAAAGACGGTGTTAGTTTTTTAGCGAGCTTCCCATGTCAACTTCTTTTGTTCAATGGCCATCGAATGCCTTTGGGGATTTTTTATGCATCAAGAAGAAACAATTAAAATCTTCCAATTATTAAGGATTTTTTTTTTAAAGTTGTTTGTTTTTTCAAGATCGTTAAATAGAAAACAATACAACACAAACAAGTTTAGAATTTGATAATGTCTAATGTTGAAAAAAGAATGAACTCATGAATGAAAACTATCTTTGCAAGTCTCTATATAGATGAAAGTTTTACATGAATACACTAGACGATATATTTAGTGTCACGTCTTCAGCGATTGTTTCTAATGACATATTTGCTAAGAAGCGTATGTCTCAGAAAATTGGTTCCATGTTTAACGTAAATAATTAAATAATAAATGTTGATCTTGCTTTCGCTAGAGCATAGCGAGCTAATTTATGATACGGATTGGACAAAAAAGTAAGTTCGTAATAAATGGCGCTCATGAGACCATAGCAAGCTAAATCTTTGGAAATGTATCATCACAACATATGATTTGCGAATTTGATGGTTGTTTGGTAATAAAATATTAAAAATATGGGTTTTAGTTATATTTTACCGTCCAAACATATCATTTTGATGAATAACTTTTAAGCTATGCATTTTTTTACCTCATTGCACTTTAGTGTTTAATGAAACCTATAATTGCTTACAAATAGTTTATAAGGTATCTTTTTTTAATAGAAAGTGATTCATGCATAACATTTTTTTTCTTCATACACAACAATTTAGGTTTTATATAATTATTCAGTACAACATTTTAAAACATGAATTATTGTGTACAGGAAAAAAAATATTAGATACAAATCAACTTACCTTTTTAATAAACTACTTGTTAATTAGTTTGTAAATTAAGAAGCTGAGAAGCTAACTTTTACACAACTTTAAAGTAAGGCCAGGTTTTCTTTTGGCATAATTACAAAAATATTAAACATCTAACTGTTTTTGAGCTTATAAAATAACTAGCAATTCCATAAGTTGTAAAATTATTCTCCGGTATTCTTTTTTATTTCACAATTATAACTTTTTTATGTTTTTTTTTTCTGCAAGCTGTTGCTAGTAAAAAGGTAATTTCATGATGTTTTTTTGAAAATTAATAACTGAAGAATTGCATATTTTTGTGTATGGGCTCTATTAATGGAAATGGGCTCAAGGTCCATAAAATGCATTTATATAGTTGAATTATGTTCATTAAAACAATTTAATAATCCATCTGAATAAAGAATATACTGATCTATATAAAAATAGCAACTCCAAATTTTGACATACTCGAAATTTAAATTCATTTATCTTGCATTAAATGACTAGTTATTCAAATAATTATATGTTACGCTTATCGAATTAGACGGGGATCTATTTTACAACATTTGGGTTTTGTTTCATGAAAATATGAATATATAATTTTCATAATAGTTATATAAAAGATTCTATTGTAAAGTATATGTGATGGTATATGAGTAATGAACTAACCATTAATACGATTGGCGATATTTTATTTGTGTTTTTATCCGTCCATTTAAAAACAATATGTTTGATTTTTATATATTTTTATTTAAAATGAAGAAAGATAACGAGAGAGCTTCTATCCCAGCAGAGCTTCTATCCCAACGGTATTCGGTGTTGTCATTCCTCTTTGAGGTTGAAGTTTCAAATCTTGTCGTGGACATAAGTGGATTTAATTACTAGTTTAGGAGTATTAGATTTGTTGTTTAAAAAAAAAACCAAAGTAAAGTAATGACATTATAGTATTACATTAATTAAATAGTTATTTATATAATATTAGGTGTGAGACCTATGTATTACATGAGTTTATTTAAAAGAAAATTTAAATATGAAATTCTAAACATTTGAAATTTGAATTTATAAAAAAAAGTGAGAAAAATATTGAATGATTAAAATTAAAGTGTTTTTTCTCTTTTAAATTTAAACAAATAATTTAGATAGATAAATAAATAAAGAAAAATAATGAGGGTTTAATTTAGTAATTTTGAAATTAGAAGGAAAATCATTACTGAAATTAATATGCATTTATTATTATATTTAAATATTATGTGAATTTAATAAAATGAAAAAACCATAAAAAAAACAAAAATAAGTCATGTGTTATAAGGCATTAGAAAATAACAAGCGACAAAATTATTTTCATTTATTAAGAACGATGATAATGATTTAAAAGCTTATCAAATGCATAGAACAAAGTTGGATTTTGACTGGAATTATGCAACTACATTTCGATTTTCTCTTATGATATTGAAATTATTTTCAAATAGTTTTCTTTTTGTAACACACTTTAATGTGTTATATTTGGGATATTCCCTTATATATTTTTTTACTAAAATATGATTTGAATACAAGTACACTGATCTGTTTTGACTTCCAGGGATTCAAAAGTCTTCTTTTCTAGTTTCTACTCTCCCTTCGCAGCTCCGCCTGCGCTTGGATGAACTTAACGTCGCCGGAAAATGGGCGGAGGAGATGTCCGGAAAACCGCGAGAAACAGAATCAAACCGACTACCAGCAGTGTATCCAGAGAAGATCATCGCGAACTTCGTAACCGGAAGGGTTTGCGGAGGGAAAGAGGCAAAGATCAACTTCGCATTTTAGATGTTAATTTCGTTCTTCTAGGGTTTACTATCGTGTCGTCATTGGTCGCCCTGTTTTTTCTCTACCATTTCGTTCAGTTCTCCGATGCAGACGATCAATTGCCAAGGGTTATCACACCGTTTCCTGCGCCAAAAATCATGGACCTTGAGATGGTGAGATTAGGGTATTCGCTACTTATTATGCATCGTCTTCTTACAGATGACTGCATTTTTTTGATTGTCTGCAGTTTCAAGGAGATCATAAGGAGAGCTTATATTGGGGAACATATCGTCCTCAAGTTTATTTCGGTGTCAGAGCCAGGTAAGCTTATAGTTTCGGGATTCCTTCTTGTGGCTAATTTTTCTCTTTTACATTTGGTTGCTGAATCCGTAATAGCAAGCTTCTGATGTTCATGTAGTTTGAACATTTAAGATATATGATATCAGTTGTCCTTTCCAGGACTCCAGAATCTTTGGTTGCTGGATTGATGTGGCTTGGTATAAAGGACGGACGATATTTTATGCGACATGTCTGCCAAGATGCAGATGATCTTCAAACATATGGTTGGAATAAACATAATGGAAGAGACTATGGACATCAGGTTCTAATTGATCACGGGATGACATTGACCACAAGTTTCTTGAAATCCAAGGTAGATGGAAGTGGCTATGGAGGAGACTGGGCTTTTCGAGTTGGAGTGCAATCTGAAAAGTATAAACCCTACCTGTTTCCTGAAATGATTTTTTGTTGGTACTATTGAAATAGATCAATTTTTCCTAAACTATTTCATCTACTGAATTCGAATTTCCACCACTGCAAGCAATTTACCCTGTATTGTTGTTCTTTGTTGCTGTTTTCAGATTAAGTGAAGAAATGCCAGATGCTGCACATCTTTTCTTTTATGTGGCTGATGAGGGTGAAAATGCTCTGAGCTTAGGTAGAAGTGTTACAGAAATTCATGAGAAGTCTCTGTTGGCATTTGGATCACGATCAGATGTCAGTGATTGGGAGTTACACTTAAAATCAATGGTAATATCACGCAAAAAATATAATTTTTTTTTACTGCTAATCCTTTTGAACTGACGACCAACTTGCTTTCAGGATGATTTTGAAATCCACCATGTTGGTCTCAAGACACCTCACATTCACAATCTCTCTGATATGGTCCAAGGAATTCTTGCACTACAAGTAATATACTAATATTTGACCTTATACTTTTTTGTTTCCTGTACCTATTTATTTAACTATTGTGTTGGTGATGGGATTGTGTTCTCCTTGTGCTTTAATAGGCAAGAAACTATGGCCATTTGGAGCTTCCAGACACATCTGAAGATTCTGCTAACATTTTAGTTTATCAGGTGCAGTTTTCATCATCCAAATATATATGTTATTATATACTATGAGACTGTCATCATCATTCATCAAGCACAATTTAACTTTGTGGTTCAATTTCCATGAACCTTATCCTTTTGTCTTAGCAGATCTCTGCTAAAACTCCTTTCAAAGCAGACATTGCTTTTGTAACTGGAACTGATATTGATGATGCTGAAATCCAAGAACGTGTCAACAGCCTCACTGGTACTTGATATTACACTAATAATTTGTCAATATAAGTAATAGTTACCAATATCAGTAATAGTATCTTCTATAATAGTATTATATTGTTTATATTTCTTTCTTATATGTAGGTACATCACTTACTAGTCATCTTCAAAAGAAGGAAAATGAATTTGATGATAAGTTCAATAAAATCTTTAATCCATCAGACAAGGTACCCTTCACAGAGAAGGAAAATGAATTTGATGATAAGGAAAATGAATTTGATGATATATTGTTTATATTTCTTTCTTATATGTAGGTACCCTTCTGTTTCTTACTGTCTTTTTTCATTATTGTTGTTTAAATACATAAATACCCTTAATCTAAATGTTTATTTGCAGCTTGATTCTGAATCTATGGAAGTTGGTAAGGCTGCTATTGGAAATCTATTAGGAGGGATCGGATACTTCTATGGCCAATCAAAAATATTGTTTCCACAACCCTCTAAGGTAAATTTCTCTGTTATTCTTCCTTAATAATATATATGCTTAAAATGTGGCAACAATATTTATTTATAAACTATCATGAATATGTGTAAAGCAGCATAAATCTGGTGGTGATTCTGTATTATATTGGCCTGCTGAGCTGTACACTGCTGTTCCGAGTCGCCCATTTTTTCCTAGAGGATTTTTATGGGATGAGGGTTTTCATCAACTATTAATCTGGTGCAATATAAATTATACGTTTTTCTTCTGAATTTCTATTTTTCTTTCCAAAATTTGGGTTTTCATTTTTTTATTTTTGTGTAGGCGATGGGATATGCATATTTCCTTGGATATTATTGGACACTGGTTAGATCTTATGAACATTGATGGTTGGATTCCACGTGAGCAAATTTTAGGAGCTGAAGCTTTAAGGTACACCATTGATCTTGATTTTATTTTTAGTATATTTTTGTGAAAATAATTTGTTATAAATTTACAGTAAGGTGCCTGAAGAATTTGTTGTTCAACGCCCGAGTAATGGAAATCCGCCAACATTGTTTTTAGTCTTACAAGGTAAGTTTATTTTTTGTTTATAAAAAAAAAAAAAAAAAAAAACTTTTGATTCAAATATCAAGGATATGACTGATAAAATGAACCTTGGTTTTCAGATCTGGTTTGTGGCCTGATGAAAATCAAGTTTTCTGCAACAGAAAGCAAGGAGATTTCTGCCTTTTTTGAACGATCTTTTGGTCGTTTAGAAGCATGGTTTCAATGGTTTAATACAACACAATCAGGTAAAAATAAAATAACTAGTTTAAAGTGAAAAATGCAAGAAATAGCAATGTACTTTCTATGTTGTTAGTCTTATAACAGCATTGTACTTTCGTTTTTTCTTCTTATATCGTTTTACTTTCAAATTATTTTTATTAGGGCATTGTACTTTGAAAAATATACCATTATAGCAATAGGTAACTTGGTGATTTGAATTATAATTACATGGATTAAGTTATATCAGGTTTTTACGCCATGTAATTTGACACATTTATTATGTATAAACTCTCACATGGATTTTTTTTTCTAAAATTCAAGTTTTTATTACTTTTTAGGTTTTGGTTTCAGATTTTTGGAGTCAGATTTGCTTTGATTTTTTATTTTGTTTAGGATTTAGTTATATATTTTGGGTTCTTTTAATTTTTTTTTTTGGGAGGAAATATTGATGCTAACGGGAAAGGTGTTTGCTTAGAAACAGTGTTGGTGGTAAAAAGTTGGAAGAGTAATTAAAATTTTCTAAAAAAATAGATTAAGCCAAATTATTTCATCCTTAAGTATGCCATGTCAGCAAAAACAAATAATGGGATGACCGGTACAACAGGTTACCCATTGCTATAATAGGTGAAATCTAAAAAGGTACAATACCTAGCCCAGCCCCTACCTAATAAAAAATAATTTGAAAGTACAATGCTATAATAAGGAAAAATTAGAAAGTACATTTTGCCATTTCTTGCATTTAGCCTAGTTTAATTGGAAAGTGATGAAAAATCTCTGAGATGTTGAAACTTCAACTTTATTTGAACCTTAAAAATATATTTTTTTTTAAACGACAGGCCAGCTTAAAAGCAGCTATTACTGGCATGGAAGAAAAGAGAGTCAAACCATCTTTGAACTAAACCCAAAGGTTATTATAGCTATTTTATATCTTCGATCTCATTTAAATTGCTATTTTTTCTTTTTTACGAAAGTTATATCACTAAACCAAGTTATATTAATTGTTGGAATGTTTTGTTAGACATTATCTTCTGGTTTGGATGATTATCCACGTGCGTCACATCCAAGTGAAGAAGAACGCCACCTGGATCTCAGATGTTGGATGCTTCTTGCAGCCGATTGCATGCACTCCATCTCAAATCAACTTATCAACAAACAAGAATCCACCAACTTATATGGGGAGACAGCCAACCTACTTGCTGATTTTGATCTTCTCAATAAGGTTTGTTAGTCTTTTATTTTTTATTTTTTAAAGTAAAATTTTATGTTATATCTATTGATTCTAAATGTTGTTTCTTGTTTTCCAGATGCACTTTGACAAAGAGTATGGTGCTTATTTTGATTATGGAAATCACACAGAAAAGGTTAAGTTGTATCCACCCATTATGTTATGTCCTTCCATAGTAGTATATAATCTTCACACATAATTATAATTTATATATTTTTGACATTTTGAGTGAATGAACATATTTAGGTTCGATTAAGAAGACAACTAGTGGAGAAAAATGGGAAACCCCCAAGTCTAGAGCTTGTCAGAGAAGTTTTAGAGAAACCAGAATTAAGACTGGTTCCACATATCGGATATGTCAGTCTTTTTCCCTTCATCTGGAAGATCATTCCATCTGTAAGTTTAATTAGTTAACTATTCTTTATAATAATATCATTTCTTCCTATTCCTATTACATTATTATTTACATATTTGTTTGTAATCAACATACATACATACATACATACAGAACTCATGGATTCTAGAAAAACAACTCCACATTATTTACAACACCAGCACTTTGTGGACCGACTTTGGCCTGCGATCCCTCTCTAAAACAAGGTGTCGTGGGATTTATTTATTATTATTTAATATATTTATATATAACCAACATTTTATAATTTTTTTTTTTGTAGCTCGATGTACATGAGGCGCAATACGGAGCATGACCCAGCATATTGGAGAGGCCCAATTTGGATGAACATGAATTACTTAATTCTTTCATCCCTACATCATTATTCAAAAGGCATCTTATTTAATTCTTACATTATATGCATAGATACACCTTGAAACTAACTGTGTATTATTTGTTGTTGTAGAGGAAGGGCCATATAGAGAAAGAGCCGAGTTAATTTACAAAGAGTTGAGGGGCAATCTGATTCGGTATAATGTTTATTTATTTACCATTTACCTCTACATTTTTACATATGTATGGTTGAAATTGTGCATGCAACAGGAATGTGATGAACAAGTATAAGGAGACGGGTTATTTATGGGAACAGTATGATCAGAAAAAGGGAAGTGGGAAGGGTGCACACCCTTTTACTGGTTGGACTTCGCTGCTGGTCTTAATCATGGCAGAATCATATACTCAATGTTGACACATTTTTTTGCAGTTTTGACTTGGGACTATTTATTTACTTGTAACATGAAGACGAAAAAACAATCGTTTAAGCAGTTTCTAAGTCTAAGGTATTAGGGGAGACAAATTCATATACAAACATTGATTGAGCTTTTAAAAACTTTTTAAAAAACATTTTATAAATTTTCTACACTTCTATACAATATTAACATATTTGAACATAAAATGAAACAAATTTAATATACTAATCAACATTTTTATAAAACCCAATGTATCATTCAACATAAAAAAACAAACATTTTTTAAGAATTTAAATTTTACCGCTTTAATGGTATCAAGATTACAAATGTCTCTAACGACTTGAAGCATTTCATTTCATCCTGACCCATCATATTCAAAAGAAAACCCTCTTGAACCACGTTCACATTTTCTTCAAGGTCTTGAAGATTTTCATCACCATATCTAGTGATAAAGTGATTCCCTATCTTTCATCCGATTGTAATTATGCAATGTACAACATGCATGTGAAATCAACATTTGACGTATCAATAGAGAGTTTGGTATATATTTCAAAAAATGAAATCTTTTTTTAAAAACACTAAATGCCCCGTCATATAACATTGCCAACAGGTGAATGCATAAAGTCAAATAATTTGTTTCTTTCCTCTAACTCTACTAACATGATGCCAATTAGGATGATGATACCTCTCAGGCTCTCACTATGGAACTAAAAATCCCTTTAGATTCAGATACTCACCATTAATAACATAGAAATTATCTATAAATACAAAAATATATTTGAGTTAAGTATTTAAAAACTAAATTAAATAAAATCTGTGAAATCTTACCACCGGTTAGTACTACAGTACTGGAAATTTGTTTTCAGGTCTAATAACATCATAAAATATACGAGAGTCTCATTGTGTTCCCTCTCATTGTGTTCCCTCTCAGCCGGCATACACAAAAGTAATAACAAGCATTGTTTTTCTACCTTAAAATGACTTTTGCTTTGATAGATAGCTCCTCGATGTTTTTTTGTGTAACGTAAAATGTAAATGCAATTCCTTTTTTGACCTTCCACCTGTAGTGATTCCCTCTCCTCAAAAGGGTTTCTGTTTACATATCTTCTTGAATTGTCATATGTGTAAAAAATCATTCACCAATAATCTCCACACGAAACATTTTCCTTCCTTAAAACAATCAAACTTTCTCACATCTCTTACTGTAATCTCCCTATTAGTCAACCCCCATATAATCTTATTTGCATTATGACAATCCTCATATTCTTAGATTCTTCACCACATACAAACTCTCTCCCTCTGTACTCATCAATAATCCAAACACAACTTCCCACATTCATCTTCTTCAACAATTCCATAATCTCTATATCCAACTTCCTTCATCTTCTTCAACAACTCTTCCCAAAACTCATTAATCTCCTTCAACATGGGGTGACAACTATCCTCTGAAACAAAAACATGTACTTTCTTGTTTACCTCAATCCAGCTACACCCCGGACTCTTTTTCACCCCATTGTCTCTCATTAACTGTCTGACTCTTCCCACTTCTTCCCATTTGTTAGCCCTAGCATACATGTGTGATAGAACCACATAAGGGGCTGCATTAGAAGCATCTAGAACAAGACACTGTTTAGCTGCCTTTACTGCTAATTCAAGATTTCCATGAATTCTACATGCTCCAAGTAAAGCACCCCATGAGACTGTACTAGGTTTGACTGGCATTGACTCAATCAGTCTTTCAGCTTCATCAAGTTTACCTGCTCGACCCAAAAGATCTATCATACATGAAAAGTGTTCTTCTTCTGGTTCAATATTAAACTTTTCAGTCATTAAAGTAAAGTACTTTCTGCCTTCTTCAACTTTTCCTGTGTGTGCACATGCTGATAAGATAGATATGAAGGTTATAATTGTGGGGGATATGTTTGTATTAAGCATGTGTTGGAAAAGATCCAATGTCTCTATTTGAAACCCATGATTTGAGTAGCCTGTGATTAGTGAGTTGAATGTGACCGTATTATGCTCTGGCATTTTGTCAAACAGTCGGCGTGCATCTTGCAAGTTTCCACATTTGGAGTACATGGCGATCAGTGCATTGTTTACAGAGATTTTGTTTGATGGGATGTCAGATTTAAGAGCAAGAGAATGAAGCTGCTTGCCTTGAGATGGTGAGGAGAGAGTAGAGCTTGCCCTGATTACACAAACAAAGGTGCAATCATCTGGGTGGTAACCTTCTCTTTGCATCTGTATAAAACAAGAGAAAGCTTCTTCTGAAAGATTGTCGTTCTGAGAATACCCAGAAACCATGGTGTTCCATAGGACTATATCCGGTTCCATAATTTCTTGAAATACTTTCTTACAATCTGACATGCCACCGTGACATTTTGAATAGAGATCAATCAATCCGCTTCCTACATGGGTATTTTGGTGGAAACCTTTCTTAATTAATTGACAATGGAACTGAAGCCCACCATGTAAATCTTCCAGGCAGGTAAATGCAGTTAAGACACTACCGAAACTAAACAAATCAATTGGTAACTCCAAATGAACCATTTCCCGATACAATGCAAGCGCTTTTAATCCTTCTCGATGCTGGCTATGTGCCACGATCATTGAATTCCATGTCACCTCGTCTTTGTTGCTACCCATATCATAAAAAATCGATTTGGCCTCTTCCAGATACCCATTTTTGCTATAATACGTGATGAGGCTGTTATTGACCGAAGTATAAGCATTAAAGCCACCTGAAATTGACAACTTATGAAGCTGACGTGTCAAAGAAATATTTTTACAGGCAGCAGTGATGGCAGCGGAGAATGTAAAGCCATCCATGTCAAAACCCAACTCACGCATATCCATAAACAAGTGAAGAGCTGGCTGGGTTTCGCCTCGATCTGCGTAAGCTGAAATGAGGGTGTTGTAAGACACAATATCTGGTTGAGGAATTTGGTCGAACAGCTGGTGGGCAATGAGGGGCTGGGATTCTTTCGCGTAAGCGGAGACGATTGTGTTGAAGGAGAAGACATTTGGATGTGGGATAACATCAAAGGCGTTGCGGGCTGAGGAGAGGCGGCGGCATTTGGAGTAGAGGAGGATGAAGTGATTGGAAAGGTAGGTGGAAGTAGGGATGACGGTTTTAATATAGAGGGTGTGGAGGGATTTTCCGGTTAGGAGATCTCTCTGAGAAATGCATGTTTTAAGCAACTGAGTAAAGTGATGTAAAGGGCATGACGAAATCTGGTTCATCTATAAAGCTTTACTTATTGCAGTTTTCGTATTTACGAGCTTTCGCATATGCACAAATGGGCTTCAATTGAGTAGTCTTCCTCTTCGTCAACCAGGATGAAGAAACCAGTCAACCCGCCCTGAAAAAGTTTAGTCAAGCAACCATCACCATAAACGAGCATAACAAACAACAGAAACTTGCAAACCAGAAAACCTTTTCTGATTATAATATATATTTTAAAATTGACAATTTTTACCGTTTTTTAATATAATGTTTTTGGTGTTTTTTTCTATAACTTTTTGCTATTGATGTTTATTAGTTTATTTACAAACACCATTATAACCAACAATTATTTTAATCTTACAAACACTTTGATGTTGCTTACTTTTAATCTATACCAATAATCCGTATTAAAAATTCTAAACCGGTTTGACCAAATTTAGCTTTTAACCATGCACACTCCTAGTTCTTCCATGCAACTCATAATATGAAAAAAAAAAAAAAAAAAAAGTCCCAAACACAAATAATTATAACAACCAAAAATAATATTACAAAAAACGGCCTGGTATACAATATATAATAAGCACGTGTAACAAGACTAACCAATCCAACAAACCCAAAAAATAATATAACAAAGGGGTATTTGAATCATGTACCGGTGGCAATTGCTTAGCATATTATCATAGGCCTTGGTGGTCTTCACAGACTCCCTTCTTAATACAACAATCCATGTAAATACTTATAAAACGAAAGCAAAATCACCCAAAACAGGGATCAAAATAATGTAGGCTGATGTCCATTTACTTGCAGGTGACAATATTTCAAGACCCTTGAACAAATTCAAGATACCAAGAACAACACAAAAAATAAAATCGCTTATATGACATTAGAATCCATCTACCAAAAACAACATCAAAAAACAAAATTAAAGCACCAATTAGTATGATTTTCAAATAACAGAAACAAATTCTTTGTATGATTGTATATGTGGGGATCAAGAGCCACAACTTGACTGATTCTTTATTTTGTGTGTCTAGGAATCTACTTTTTTAAGTATTACCTAAACATAAAACACAGAACAAAAAGCTGAATTTTAACTCAATTTATGGATGTGATATAATCAGAGCACCACAGTAGCTGAAAAATTCGAAATCACCCCAGATTCAATGAAAAAAAATTCAAACTTACCACAAATAGGTGAAATCAAGTGAGAAGCTGGTAGAATAAAGATGAAAGTTCGAAAATACGTATTCAAGAAACCCATACAATGCCTAAATTGAAGATGGAAGTTCAAAAATTGAAGTTGAGATGGAGTTAAAAAACGAACCTGAGGCGAAATCGCTGGCTGGACGAGTGGACGGAGGGGGAGTCGCCACCGACTGGACGGAGGCGGAATCGCCAGCTGGAATTGTGGCCGGAGATGAAGGTGCGACCGGAGATGGAAGGCGATAGTGTCGTATTTCTTTCCCGTTGTAACTTGAGTCGTTCAGTAAGAGGGAAAATACCGCCAATAGACAAAAAATCGGGTTGAATTTGAAAACATAGTCATAAAAAATGACTTTTCCGGCTATAGACATGCATTCCGCGAAGGGTCCTCCGCGGACCTCCGCGGATCGAAGATTCCTCTGCGGACAGGGCTATTTTTGTCATTTCACCCTCTTCTCTTTCACAAAATCGAACATTCCTCTTTGGCCCCCCCACTGGTCCCCCAGAATTCCTCTTTGACAAACATATTCCTCCGCATCGACGATTCCGGCGACAACGACGTCAAATCCGGCGACAACGACGTCATTTTCCGGCGACTTACGAATTCAATTTCGACGTACGACTTCAATTTCGGCGACATACGACTTCAATTCCGGCAGTTATGGAGGGCAATTTCCCCGATATTTTGGCCGACGGATTTGGCTCCCGGGTATTTCTCACCATCCTTTCTTTGGATTAATGTAGTATATGTATGATATTTGTCGAAACCTATTTGATTAAATGGAAAATATCGGTAAAATAGACACATTTAGATGAAATCGCCGTTGACAGGTATCGAATTGGGTATGATCCATTCCGCGGAGGTGTATGTCACTCCGCGGAGGGTTACGTCAGTCCGCAGAGGACCCTCCGCGGAGTGATGTATTTTCTCCACGGAAATGATAAATTGGACCTCCGCGGAGGTATTTGGTCAATCCGCAGAGGGTTCTCCGCGGAATGACCTGTAGTCTCCGCGGAATGACCTGAAACTTATTTTTTCTATTTTTTTTTTTGCTGTTTTTTCTGACTTTTTATATGAAATTAAATGTTATGTTTTGCAGCACGAAGATCTCAATCAAAAAGCGGATTTAACTTTAAAAGGTGTGGTAGGTACTATCATTAAAAACTATTTTCCGCGCCTAACACAATCACAACGACAATTATTCGAAGCTTCGCCGTTCGGAGTATTCCTAGGAATGCATATCCCACAAGGTGATTCGTTACTTGTGCATTTGATGATGTTGCACGAAGTAAGGTGTCAACAAGTATTTGAAATGGGGAGGTTTCTTTTTTATATACAAGGGACGCATTTGGATTTTGGTGAAACTGAATATATTCTCATTTGTGGTTTAAAAGTTGGTCCTTGTGTGGATTTACTCCACGACGAAAAGGCCGGTCAAATTCAAATCTCCGTGCTCGGTTGTTCCCAGACATTTCTGATGCACGTTTGCGGTTGAAAGATTTGGAAGACTTCATTATGTCTCCGAATTATTTGGCAGTTCAAGATGAAGATGCTATGATGCTTATCCAGCTTGTTTTTATGCTGAAGGGACTCCATGGACGGGACGTTAAAACGTGCATTCCCGCTGCAGTATACAAGCTTGCTGATAATAGAGATGATTGGAACATGTATTACATTTAAATATTGTGTATAAATACAATACAATAATAATAAATTGAAAATTGCAGGTTTGCATGGGGTACGTATTTTTGGACCTATACTTCGCGGATGTTGCGTGGAATGTTTAAGAAAATAGAAGAATTTAGACTATTGAAGCAGGCCAATCCCGAAGCCAAGAAAGTACACAAGTATACCGTTCCTGGTTTTATGCTTCCGTTTAAGGTTAGTTTCTAATACATTTAAATAGTTATCATAGTTTTGTTTTTATACGATAAAAACATTGAACTTCGGTTTGTAGTATAAAATACCGTTGTATTATGATTTTTATACTATAATAGCATGATACTTACATTTTTTTCTATAGATATGGATTTTGGAGACGTTCCCCGAGGCAACGAATTTTTATATACGCACGTCGACAGAATTGTCGCAGATGAGGTCGTGGAGAAGTAAAACACCGTTATCTTGGGATAACTGTCGTCGAATAATCAACGTGTCTGTGGTATGCTTTTATATTAAGGATTATGTATACTTACAAATTCCAATGTATTTTCATTATAAACTAACAATTTGATTTTAATTTTTGCAGCCTAACAACGAACCTATTCGAGTCGTGGCAGACGCGACGGAGCTGATGTTGTCGTTTTATGTTCGCTACGTCAATTGGACTCTTAACCATGAAGAGTCTCCCCCACGGGAACATAGTCCGGTCCGAAATAGTCCACTTGTTGTTGCCTCGCCTCCCCCACGGCAAGATAGTCCGGTCCAAAATAGTCCACCTGTTGTTGCCTCGCCTCGTCGAAGAAAGATGTACAAGTCGGAAACATGTTCGACTGAATCTGCCACAAATGCTTCTTCCTCGCAACCTCCTGAAATAGAAAGAACTTATACGTCAAGCGACACATCAACGAAGGTGGTAAAGAAGAAGAAGACTATCACAAAGGCATTAGTGAAGCGTCTACTAGGCGTTGTGGCTGACTTATCTTCTAAAGTAGATCGTGTATTACAGAAAAAAGATGAGCCAAACACACGTTTTGTAGAGGATGAGGTGGAGGAGGAGATGATAAATGAAGATGAGGAAGAAGCATATTACCATGGTACACAGTTCAAATATGGTGGTCTTGAGGAGGAAGTTGGACGTACACCTACGCATGGTGAGCCGTCATCGGACCTTGGGGAACATCACTCAAAAACAGTGACTCCTATTGGTAGGCCGCAACGAAAGAGGGCTGTTGCATGGTATCAGCGGACTCCGCTCACAGTGGTACAAAACTCATATTTTAAATTTGGTATAATTATAAAATATTACATTATTGATAATGATTTAACATGTTAATTTTTTAGATGCAATCGACACCAAAAGTGAAAAAATCAGCAAAACAAGGAAGAAAAAAATAGTGGAGAGTCCTGAAAAGGTAAATGAGGACATTGTCAATGCAGAGACTAGTGATGTTTCAAACTATCTCTTACTGGACAGTATTTATGCTACTAGCACGATGAGTTTTTGGAAAGAATGGAGTATGATCTCTTCCAAACTCATCACTAAACATAGGCTGCATATGCTCCCACTGGATATAGATTTTTGGTCAAGGTTACTTGCTGTTACTCACCAAGGGTGGTTAATTTCTTCGGTAACATTCATTTAATTAAAATTTTAACTACTTTTTTAGACGAGAATTTATATAAATAATTCTAACATTTATAATTTTAAATGTACAACATATTGCGATATGGAGTTCCTTGCTGATGGAAAGGCGGCCGGCGAACGCAAGGTGGACGATATTTCCTCAAGAAATCAATTTGGAATCTGGAAAATCATTTTTATTTAGGAATATAGCAAATGGGCTTGGAGGTCGTCCTAAATGGAAGGATGTGGATATGGTTAGTTAACTTTAATAATTATTAATTTATATATATAATATTACTGAAATTACTACTATTTAATTTAAATGTTTTTTTTGCAGGTTCTATTCGTAATAAATGTTGTTGGTGCCCATTGGTTTATGACGGTGCTACATTTAGATACCTGGAAAGTAGATATTTATGATTCAGCACGACCTATGGATTACTTCTCAAAGTACTTAACTGGTGGAGAATTCACAAGTTTTGGAGATAGTATTATCTCAGAGTTAGATGCCATTGAGTACTGGAACGATTTCCCCGTTGGACACAAAGACAAAGCAAAGGTGGAGTGTATTGATGTTGTAGACGCGCCACAACAAGAATATAGTCTTGATAGAGGGGATTGTGGAGTATTTGTATGCATGTTTATGAAAATGATTGTTTCAGGGGTACCAATGAATATTTCTACGGCACGTAGAGATGCGGGATTTCTCTACAGACATAAGATGACAAATATTATTTGGGATACTATATAGGCCCTACTATATAAGTTGATATTAGGAACTTTGTATATATATTAATATTAAATATTTGGGATACTATATAGGCCCTACTATATAAGTTGTTTTGTTTAATATAAATATGTGTTTTACCCTATATTTTTTGAAACATAATTCACCAACATATATTACGATACATTTAAACAAAATAAACATTAGAAATAACATAATAACATTACACTTAACATTACAAATAAAAGATGAACAGCTAACAAACATTACATAAAACATTACGAATAAAAGACTCGTCTACATGAAAAAGGGTTTATTTTTAACCAGATTCCAAACGTCTGTATACTCGAAATCAGTTTCATCAAACTGGCACAGGTAATATCCGTTCACGTATTCAAGAAGTTTGTCATCGTCAGCATCAGAGCATCGCATTTTCTCATAATTGTAGCATCGATTGAACCATGTGACTTTTGTCTTTAAATCCATCCATTTACTAACAATATCGGGTTTTAGTCGTTCTTGTCCTTGTCCCACCTTATAGTTGAACAAAGCTATTAAGCGGGACCATTCATCACCAACAAGGCAATTAAGGGGAGCCATTACCGGTAGACCCTCGTAAATGATAATCCAACATCGTGTTAGGACCAACACCTATGTTGTCGTCCATGGAGATGTACCATTTGTTGGAGCAGCCGCATTAGACGGATTAGCTGCATTTGAAGAAGTTGGTACATTGGATGCCATTTTGTCAAATGATCCCTTACCTCTAATTCGGACGTATAGACACATTCTTTACTATATATAAAAAGATAGGTAACGTGCCATGACAAACAGCTATGCGGACTGACAAGTCAGTAACGCGGACTGACAAACAACTATGCGGACTGACAAGTCAGTAACGCGGACTGACGAATAGCTATGCGGACTGACAAGTCAGTAACGCGGACTGATGAACAGCTATGCGGACTGACAAGTCAGTAACACGGACTGACGAACAGCTATGCGGACTGACAAGTCAGTAACGCGGACTGACGAACAGCTATGCGGACTGACAAGTCAGTAACGCGGACTGACGAATAGCTATGCGGACTGACAAGTCAGTAACGCGGACTGACAAGTCAGTAACGCGGACTGACAAGTCAGTAATGCGGACTGACAAATAGCTCTCTGCGGAGTTTAAGGGTCTATATATTGTCATGGATGATCGTTGGATATTTGCGGACTGTCATGTCTATATAAAACGACAAAAAATTGTGTATCACTTCATCTAATCTATTTTAGTTCATCTACTTTGTATGTTTTACAATGGGTTCAAAACCATGGACCGCTAACGAGTATTTGCTTCTAACTCGTGCATATATTAATGTCTACGAGAACACCAGTTTGGAGGATAGAATGTTTTGGGTCCTATTAACCAATACCTTCAACACCGACGCTGAAACCACCATAGAAAACCATCGTAACACGCTTGATATAGCTGCAAAATGGTATGAATTGAAAACAGAAGTTGTGTTATTCAATGATCTTTATAATAAGATTGAAGACGATCGTGTGAATGATACTGAGGAAGACATCTTGGAGGCGGCTATAGAAGAATACAAATCCATTAGCAACGGAGAGAGTTTCGAGTATGAAGCCCCTTGGAATCTTTTGAAAAATGTCCCGTTTTTTTAACTAGTACTGCGTTTTGTATTGTGCTTGTATTGCTTTATTTATATGTAATATGGTATTTATCCTTTATTTTTTGAAACATAATTCACCAACAAATGTTACGAAACCATACATTCAAATAACATAAAAACATTTCTGCGGAGTGACTAACAGTTCTGCGGACTGACAAACAGCTCTGCGGACTGACAAACAGCTCAACGTCCGTTGTGTCCCGTGCGTATCTAGTGCCAAACAGCTCTGAAAAATAGGTTACGCGGACTGACAAGTAAGTATACTGATTCCTTTTAAATTGGACAAGCATTTTCATTTTTACAAGGTGTCGAAAGTTGTGAAAATGAGTTCAGTCAATCAGGTATTAAGGAAAAGTTTCTCCAACCTACCGACTTTTTTCCATAATCTACAAAGAACCAATCCTAACACCTTCACGTACATTACGAAAGATCAGTACAATCGTTTCCAAATTTGTTTTGTGGCATTAGGATGTGTGGTATGTAATCCCTTATAGTAAATAAATATTTAGTTATTTGAAGTTGTTATATGGCTAATATTCTTATCTTGACTTACAGATTCGTATGTTTCTCACGTCTATGATACCAATCATATTCGTTTCTCAAGTACCTCTAATTGGGGCGTATGTAACATCCATGTACATTGCGGTTGCTTTAGATGGAAATCATGAACCCCTTCTCATAGCGTTTGCTTTGGGAACCATAAACTGTGACAATTCATGGTTATGGTTCATGAGGAGGCTTAAAGAATAGGTGACAATATGGAAGTTGGTTTCATAAGCCATATGTCTGATTCCATAGACTTTGCAGTTCAAAGAGTCTACCCTGATTCATATCATGGCTATTGTTGTAAAAATATAGCCGAGAAAATACGCGCTTCCATCGGAAGCAATACAGTCGTAGAGCAGTTGTTCTGGAAGACTTGTAAAGCGTATAATTTGTCTGATTTTTATGCATGTTTGAACAACTTAAAAAATGAGGTTATTGGGAATGATATTCATTGGCTTGACAATATTCCCATTGCAAAATGGGTACGGGCTTGTTTTCCAAGAGTACGTTTCAATGTTAAATTCATTGACATTCCCAATGTTGTCAATTGGTTAAGAACAAACATGTATGAGTTTCCAATAACATCAATAATTGAAATGGTCCATGACTTGATGCACGCAGTGTATCTTCAACGTGCTGCGTTTGGAGGTAATTATAAGTTATGACATCACTCAAATGGTCAATTGATATGTTATTATACGTTATGACATCATAATTTTGTTTTTTCATTCAGTTCATTTCACAGGGGATTTTCATGGTCTTCTAACCCCTTATGCACATAAGGTGATTCATAAAAGATTTATCCAGTCGGATGGTTGTAGGATTACACATATTGTTGGCGATAGATATGAAGTGAGTAAGTATTCAACAACCGAATCTGTCCAATTAGACTGTGGTATTTGTAGTTGCGGTAAATGGCAAAAATGTGGTATACCTTGTGAGCATGCTATAGCTTCACTACAAAGGCTTGAAATTGCAGAAATCCAGCAAATGGTAAATTTAAAGTTAAGTACCGCGGTGTATCGAAATGGTTATCAAACTCAGACGGTCAATCCTATTCCAACCCTTGGGCATTGGGAAATACCAGTTGAAAGTGTTGTGGTCTTACCTCCACGACAATTCAATTGAACTGTATTGTATGGATCAGAACGAATATTAGTTTGTATTCAGTTCTATGTTAACCGTAGTTGTAATGGTCTGTTGGCATTGTTTAGTTTTTAATAAAAAATGTTTAGCTTTAAATAAATAATTGTATTCCCATAATTGTAATGTATGGATGACAACGACTAGACAAACAGCTCTGCGGACTGACTAAGAGTTCTGCGGACTGACAAACATTATTGCGGACTGACATAAAGCTTTGCGGACTGACAACAACTCTCTGCGGAGTTTAAGGGTCTATATATTGTCATGGATGGTCGTTGGATTTTTTGTATAGAGTTATAAATTATTTTTAAATTTAAAATGAGTTCATCTTCAAGTTTGTATATTTGCTCGTGCAACGAAGTTGATTGTTTCTATTGTGATCCAATCGACCCTTTTCTTGCCCAATCACCAAATTTGAGAGAGCCGTATATGTCTGAGAATACTTTGCAACAACTACAATGGGCTGAACAAAAAAAAAAAAAGATAAAGACTCATCTCGAGCTCTCACTGAACGTCGTGACCTCATTACGGCGGAGTGCAAAGAGGTTGAGGAAAGGATGACGATTACTAAAAAAAATCAAAGATCATGAGGAATGGATAAAAAAAACTAAGAAGAATATCAAATTGTCTGAAAAATGGCTTGCTGACAAGGATGCAAAAATGATAGAACTTGGGAGGCAAAAGGACCGTATGGAAGATAAAATAAGAATTAGGGACGACTACAAAACAATAGAGAAAGAAAAGTATCCTTTGCAATTCCCTTAAGTTAATTACTGTTGTTGTACGTTTACTATATGTTTGTGGTTTGTTGAATGTATTATCTTCGAGTTTTAGTTATTATTCATCTTTAAAATAAACACACCATTTCAAAGTACACAAATTAATGTCCTCTAAAACAAAACATAATTAATTATAAATACAACATCAATCATTCAAATCAAACGTTGAACAATAGTCTTCTCTCTACGTCCCACTCGTCCAACGCGTCTCTTGTGTCCCGTGCGTCTCTAGCGTCTCCTGAGTCCCTTGTGTCCCTTTCCCTTTCCCTTTTGTGTTACTACCTGATGCCGCAATATTTTTTCTAGACTTTTTTGATTCATTGGGATCAATGCCGAACAAGTCGCTGCATTATGTGTTGTACTATCACATCTACTACACCTTCTTACTATAGGTTCCTCACCTTGTGACGGGATACGATTTCTGTTTCTCGGTCTACCAGCTTGACGTGTATCCATTATCGGGGGTTTAACAACCATCATCTCAGCAGGAATCTCCCAATCACACGGTTCTGGAAGTGGGTAAACAAGCTCCTCATACGTACTTCGGTAAGTTTCCATTTTGTAAGCATCTATAGCCAGATGTCCGAAGTTAGTTTTTTTCAAGTGCTTTAAAACCATTATCACATGACCACAAGGCAACCCAGTTCCATCCCAATATTTGCATGTACAAGTATCTTGCCTCAGATCAACTATGCCACCATGTTTGAAATCATGCACTTCATAGATTGCATCTGAAACACCAGAAACGGACCATCCTGTCGTACGCTCTTCATTTTTACTAACTACTTTTTCAG